GGAGATGGAGATGGAGATGGAGATGGAGATGGAGATGGAGATGGAGATGGAGATGGAGATGGAGATGGAGATGGAGATGGAGATGGAGATGGAGATGGAGATGGAGATGGAGATGGAGATGGAGATGGAGATGGAGATGGAGATGGAGATGGAGATGGAGATGGAGACGGAGATGGAGGTGAAGATGAAGATGAAGAAGAAATGTAAAAGCAAGATAACGTGGAAAATTATTAAGGGGATGAAAATGGATATAAAGGAGATGAAATTTCACTTCTTTTGCACATACGGACCTCACGCACTCTGTCTTTTATTTCTAAGGATCGCCCAACAATGGCCGTAACTTTTATAAAATAAATCAATTTGAAAATTATATTTGCTGGAAAATTTTAATTCACCTTTCATGAAAATTAGATCTGTGTCATTCCATTGTGATTGGTGGAACATTTGTCTCCAGAATGTGATCATTTGTGAGCAATAAATGTTTTATCAGAACTTTGACCACCGTGAAAGATATTTTTGAATATAACTAGAGTATAAAATTACTTTAAAAAAATACTAAAGGGTTTATACATTTTTTTACTACTTGAATGAATGGTGCTGGTGGAATATATATACTGATATAGAAATATTTAAAAATATTTAAAATTGTGACTGGTGGAAAAGGTCGTTGTGACTGGTGGAAAGTAATTTCGTATGAAATAAAAATTTCCATGGACAAAATTACGGCTTTTTTATTTTTCAACAATGCAATGTAGTCATTTAAAAAGTGGTTACTACTAAAATACGTATAATTAAGGCATTTTAAAATTTATGTCGTTTTCCCCTTTTACATGGAATTACCCATCTATTATTTATGTATTAAAATAATTACTTATTCGATTACTCACCTTATTAAATACAACAGATCCTTCTCCTTTTCGGTAAGCAGATATTCTGGCTTAGCAGCCATTTCGCATAACATTTTTGGCAGGCAGGATTCCTTAATGGCGTCTGTTAACTGTGATTTAAGCGTATTTTGCTTTCGTTGAAGAGCGACAGCCGAAAAATCATTGATTTCTGTGTCTGAAAGGAAAAAAATAAGAAAAGTTTTTTGTGTTTAACAAATGCAGATATTTAAGAGAGGATTTTTTTATTAAATAATACAAAAGTTTAAAAAGACAATTTTAGATTTCAAATTGGTCTTTTAGAAGAGCTTTCACGTAAGACTACTTCATATGCTAGTTCTTTTATAATCTTGAATCTCTGTTTTTACGAGACCAATCTCTGGTTTTTAAACGAGTTTTCTTTATACTTGTTAGCATCCCAACTCACAAGAACTATGGTCGCACAAGCGTAGCATATGATATTCTGTTTAAATCGTTTTTATTACTTTTTTACATTTCTCAAAGATATTCATTAAATACTTTGAACTGAGCATATACATATTAATGTACATATATCGAGCCCTAATCTCGAAAATAACGTAAGCAACATTTTTTTTTTCATTTTGATGCAGAAATTCCCCTACAACACCTGGATGAATTTCTGCATCAAAACAAATTTTAAAAATTTCGCTTACATTTTTATCGCAGTAAGGGCAGTGATATTTTCTTTTTGGGGCTATTTTTCCCAGTTACTGTGCAAAGAAAAATGCAGATTCTTACTCAAAAAAATTTGGAAATTCTCTTCTGATTACTCATCAACTTGTTATTTGCAAAAAAAAATTCATTCAGAAAAAGCACCAGATACGTACATATTAATTTATTGTTATTTTTAATTACTTAATTAGTATTCCTCAATATATTATTTTGCAAAAATTAAGTAATTACAGTATCATGAGCAAGCAAAGACTCATCTTACTAGATACCTACTGACTCAGCTGCATTCGCTGTAAATTAAATTTCACCACAATAAAAGGTTTACCAAATCGATAATTTTGTACAAATTTAATTTTGTGGTGAAAACATATGCACATATGTATAAAAGGATTGCTCATAAGATTGGATTAAAATTTGATTCAAGAGAGTAAGTGTATTGTCATACGTATTTGGGCAAACACAAAATGACTCAAAACAAATAAAATTAAAAGCATATAAGAAATATCCACATACTTAAATTTGTATAAACGCTTATGCATATGCACATAATTATTTGTATGTACATACATATATAAACTTGTATGTTTCATAGTTTTTTATACTGAATTTATTTTACGCAAATCATCTTCACTACGGGAGAAATCTCATGGGAAGCAAAATTTATATGAAACTAGTTTTTCGTTTGGCAGTTCTTATGCAGATAAATACTATATATGAAGGTACATATGTATGTACGTATGTATGTAAAGAACCAAATCAAAATACCTAATTAAATAGTTATCTATTTATTTATATTAATTTATTTTACTTTATTACACATAGTATGTACATTAGGGCGGCGTAATTTAATTTCTAAAAAAGTGTATGGCAGATTCAAATTCTACGTTCGATTCTAGGCAAAAATTGTGATCAAACTATATACCAAAAATGACGTTTGACCCTACCAATTTTTCAAAGAAAAATCAGTGTATTATAATACTTTCTGAACGAAATTAATTTTTCATTTACAAAATATTGTGTTTTCTTCACATTTTGTACAAATTTTTTTGGTACAATGAAAAGTAAATTTCGACCAAAAAAATTACAACATACTTTTTGAAATTGGAAGGGTCAAACGTAATTTTCGGTATATAGTTTGTTCGCCATTTTTGCCTAGAATTTATCGTGGAATTTAAATTTGCTATACACTTACTTCGAAAATTTTGCTTCGAACTAATTACGCCGCCCTAGTGTACATCCTTTTTAGAGAGATTGCGAGAGGCCAAAAGAGTGAAGTTCGTGGGTACAGGAAATTTTAAAGAGCTAAACGATATAGCGGTGATAAAGAAATGGCCGCCACCTCCATATGTTTGTGCATATACTTAGTAGGGAAAAGGGTAATACTCCTGTGTGGTATCTCTTCCTTTTCATTATATGTATTTGAATCTGTCTTGTATTTGATTTTATTCTTAACAATTACTTTATTTTACATTATTTCTTTACGGTGCCCAAGGTCGTTGATTGTACTCTTTTATTTTAAGAAAAAACAAAAAAATTCAAATGTATGAATGTCTAAAAAATTTCTTTCAGTTTGTCCAGCAAATAATTACTAAGCCAGGCAAAGAGACACTAAATAGCATTTACAATTATTCGATCATGGTTTTATGTGTCTTTGAATGAATTCTTAATGAACCGGCTATTCGGCTTTGCTTATAGGTAAAAGTATATCTTTTTAAGTCTCGTCTGTATGTCATTATATGAGCTGTTTATTTTTAAAATGGCATAAGTCAGCTTCACACCTCTTGTGCATAACGTAATTTTCGGAAACGAATGCCTATGTAAATCGCTCTATCGCCATAAACTAACGACAAAACCTTCTACCTTTGGTAGATGACGTTGAACGAATAACCAACGCGTTCAGATACAAATAACCGGCCATTTAAACACAAGAAGTGTGAAGTGACTTATGCCACTTTCAAAATAAACACAAAAATTTAATATTTGTTTTTTTATTTCTTAAAATTATTTTAAAAACGGAACCGAGCAGACATTATTTATATCTCACATTTATCAAAAAACAATGAAGTCTAATTAAATTGGTATAACATATAATTCAAATGTAAAAAATTGCAAGTAAGCACCATTTACATATAGCCATACATACGTACCTACATACAGTGACTCAAACAAATAACTACGTGTTGATTTTTTATAATATTCGTAATGTTTTTCGAGTTCATTTTTTTTTGTGGTTACTTTTCCCTACAAATTATAATAATTTAGGAAAATTCAATAAATTTTCATGAAAATTTCAACATTTTAATCCGAATCTTTGGAACACTTTTGTTCTAATGAAGGGCAAGTTTAAAATCGCTAAAAAATTCCGTTATTATTATTATTTTTTTTTTGGTGATGGATTTTTGCACTTTTTTCCATATATGCATGAATTTCTTATGAAATAAAATGCGGGCAGATTCAAAAAAAGTTCTCAAAAATCAGCACGATTTTTTAGCTGGTTCAAACTTGCAATTCATTATATTAAAATTGTATGGGCTATAAAACTGCATACCCAAAAATTTTCTAAACAAGTTCATCTGTGCGCTTCGCAATGAATTTCATCTATGTTTATACATTAGGGTGACCTCAAAAAAGGAAAGGAAAATCTCATCAAATGTGGATGTTCTACATACCGCTCGTGTAAGTTGTGACGATTCATGTAAACATCTTTTTTAAAAGTCGACGCGTCAGACCATAAAATTTGCCGTAAAAATTACGGATCTTCCCGACGTCATTATAACATTGTTCGGCAAAACTCAATTCTTGGAAGATAATCGTGCTTGTAGTACGGCGTCCTCGTAACGAAAGGAAATGCTTCCTTCACCATGAGCTTGGTTTGGGAACCGTCCCTCTCAGAGTAAACGGTGCACATTCACAAAAATTCGATGATCGGTACGACAAGCAGTATTTGGGTACCTCTCACGATAAATTCTAGTTGTAGCACTAGCATTGCCTGTGCGGTGTACACAGCCAATCACAATAGTCCAATTCCAAATCACGAGCAATCGAGCCCAATAAACGAAGCAAAAGGTGGTAAGTACGAAATCAAGTCGAACGAATACGGAAGGATGCGCAGTAAATGAAGTAGCCTAACGTACTGGCGTGTTTTGCGAGTGCGTCAGTAAAGATGGACGATAGCGACTATTGCCTCGCTGGCACTATTCGAATGGTATCCATCCGTGTCACCAATTAGTAGAAGTTGTGTAACTCTCTGTCTCGCTCACACTTCGTAAAATGACTCTCTCCGTCTCACTCAAACAGGAATTAAGTAAAGTAACGGCTCCAAGAAAAACCTGGGTACACTACAACCGTTTTAAGTTTTTTTAAAACTGAGTTTGTTTGTTAAAATTGTTAAAAATTGTTAAAAATTTGTCAGTTAAAATTGGGCGAAGCATTAAACTTAATTTTTTTTTTTATAAAAAGTGTTCGTTTTCTTCCATGCTAAATTTTGGACAATTTACAGATAATTTTAGACAATTTATAGAAGCATTACTCAAAATTACATAATAAAAATTAAAATGAGAAAAAGTAGAAATTTGTGGTAACGGGAATTGAAAAACCAACATAGGGTTTGAATTTTTTCATATTTTTTTTTTGAACGCCTATAATTTAAAAAATACAAGACATCGATTTTTTTATATTTTTCTGATAACTCTTATGACCTGGCCTGTCACCCGTCTCCGGCTTGACGTCGCCTTCTGGGACACGCTCTATATAAAAAAAAATAGTACCCTGAAGTTAATGTAATCGTTGTGGCAGTGGCACTTGCATATGAACATACATACATATCATTGTAACATTTTCTCAACAAACTAAGCACTTTATAATATATATATATATTTTTTTTTATACGGTCCGTGACTATTAGGCCATGCTAAACTACGTTACCTTTAACTGAATTAACTCTAGCCATTCTAAGCGTGACAAAAATGCTAAAATATTGTGTGAAATAGTAAATATAAATCGCTTATAAGAGTAACATGCTGTGTGACTATAAGAATAACTAAAATAAAATTAAAGAATAAAAAAGAATTCTTGTAAAAACGTTTGGTTTCAATGAGCTTGGCACCGCTACAATGTTGCTGTTACTGCGATTGGTATAACAAACATCACTCACCAACAGCCAAGGCCATGAGTTCAAAGACCGTACAACTCCATATGTATGTATATGGTATGTATGTACCCTGCCGGAAAATCAACCGCTTTAAAAACAATTTAAAACGTATTTTTTCATTGCCTACAGGTATTTGAAGTTCTTCCTTTTTTCTTGTAAGTAACTGACTTTATTAACATGGCGATGTCCTAAGAGTAAGTCAATTGTACGACTCTTCATATAATTTCCTCTTGTAAGTAGTCAAACGATCGAGGTGGCTCTCTACAGACAACAGCTGATGCGATCGAAGCGAGCGATTGCAGACAAATGCATCACTGATCTTTCACCATGACAAT